CAGCTTGTGTTCATGCAGCTGACTTGTGAGAACTTCAATTAACAAATACTATTAAAGTATCTCTCCTCTTTATTTTATTTTTTTTATGCATAGCATTTCCTGACAGCTTAAACCTTTAATTAACTGGAGATGCCATCGTGGAAAGTTTGCTAGAGAAGAATGCTTGCAGCTTAATTAAAAACAAAAAAAATCCTTTACGGTTACTGAAAAAGATCTGCTTGCAACACCAATAGTGGCAAAAAGCCTGCAGCAATTCCTCCATTTCCCTTTCTGACTGAAGCAGTAGGTGAGGAGGTGCAGAGCGATATCATCGCCCAAGTGGAGAAGGTCAGTGCTCACAGCTTCACGTTTGACCCTCCAGTTTAGGCTGCAGATGTAGGACAAGCTACAGTTCTGTTACCTCGGTGAGGGAAGAGAGACAGCCAACTATGAATCTTTTAATTTTTAAAGAACTTCAACTTAAAATTTTCCTGGTATTAGGCCAGAGCTGTCTCTAACGTTTGTGGTCTTCTCTGAGGGCACACAGGGAGAACATTGTCTTTTTTTTTTTTGGTTCCATTACAGCACGAAAGCAAAGGTAGAGCTTACCTGCCACAAAAATGTGGGATAATGTTCACAGTATCTTCAGCAGCCATCATGGAAGCTGCTTTTTGAGATGGTAGGGTACTGCCTGATGCAGCAGAGAGTCCTCGCTGCCGTTCACAGCCCTGAGGGCTGTGTGCGATGGCAGCTGCAGCTAGGAACCACCAGCTCAGCGCACGCTTGCACCCTTGCAGCAACGTGCCATGGGGCCAAGGCACGGCGGTGACGAGTGCCGCGGAGCCGGTGGAGCCCCACGGCAAAGCAACGATCTCTCCTTGCTCCCGTGCAAAGGACTTGCTGGCTTCTCCCCTTCTTCTGCCCACGTTGACTGGATTAGGAACAGACCATGTGACCTGGAGGCTTTTGAACAGCTGCAGATCCAAAAAGGGATTTTTGTTCCTGTATTAAATATAAACCTAAAAGAGGCACCGACACGACTGTTTGCATTCAAAGCACAGCTCCACCCCTAGACAAGGAGCAAATGGTTTCTGAGTCATCCCGGGGGAGCAGGTCGGGGCTGTTGGGATGGTGCCTGGGCCAGGGGCAAGTGTTGGCTTGCTCTCCTGGGGGCCCCACACCTCGGCTGGCACCCCGGCTGCCGGGTGGCGAGGGACAGCTGGGCTTCTTGTGAAACACGCCAACGCTCAGCACTTGCCAAAACAGCTATTTGGGAGCAGCTCGATGTGTTCTCCCTCCTCTCCTGGCCCTGTCCTCAGCGTGGTTAAATTCAGTAGGTGTAGCACACCCTCTTCCAGGGGTGGGAGAGAAACTTCTGTATTAGCTTCTTTCCCCAAGCCTGGAGCAGGGACCACAAGGGTGCCGTTGACCACTGAACGAGATCCATCTCCCTGTGTAACCACATATTTCCATGCTGACCCTTTCAAACGCTGATCTCTTATTTTTGCAAACGTACTCTTTCTGATATATCTGCTACTGCAAGCAGCACATCTTCGTGGGGAACCTGCGCTGCCATGAACAGCAGTGAGAGCTGGGCTGCCCCAAACCACTGACCGTGCCAGATCCTACCCTGGCAGTGGAGCTCCGTGTCCTAGAAGCCCCTTTTCAGCCAGGGCTCGGTGGGGTTACTCCATCTTACAACAACATGGGATGTTCAGCCAAGACTCCTCAGCATCCCAAGTTGGGGATAGATTTTGGTCCTTTCACCTGATCACTTCTTGAGTGTATCTGTTTAAGCCCCTTGCAACTTTCTCAGAACAAACTGCAAACTATTTGCGATTCTTTTGGAAAAGAAACATGTTTTTTTCGCAGTGGATGGGAATCTCAGACGTGAACCAAACCCAAACCCAGGAGTATTCCTAGTAAAAACTGCACTGAAGCAGTGCCCAGCTGGTTTGTAGACCTGGTGAGATGAAATTCCCTTGAAATGTGCTTTACAGATGCCCTTGAACTAGTGAGGAGAGCTACTTTCCCTTACCACCCTTTACTTAAAGGTGGGACCTCGATGAAAAATTAGAAAAATGGGAAAGATAGGTATCAATAATAAAACAGAAGATTTTTTTTTATTGCCGTGGTTTTAATGGAATTGCAGTAGGATTTTTATACATGTCTCTGAAAGTCCATGACTTCATATAACGCTGAACCTCGAGATTTGTACTCTTGCCTTATTCTTGTTTAAATAGCTGTTACCATCGTCTGCTTGATATATTATCTGTCCCAGCACACACACACACACGGTCAGGAGGAATATACTTTCCTGGAGATGGCATGCATTGCTAGAGCTCCTCGAATCTCCCGTCTCATCACGGGGCCCCTGCACAGAGCAGCCCCAGGGCTCCAGCAGGCAGGGATTTGTACAGCATCACCCTCCTCGCTGGTGTAACGGCAGTGCCAGCGGGGAAGAGTCAGGCCTTTGCCCGTTATCTCGGCTGGGCACAGTGGGTTATTCATCACGGTGCCAAGCCCTGCCAATAAAGCTTTCCCTCAGCAGAGGGAGTTGTTTCTCAAGGTAATAAGATAGCATTATCTGATTGCATTTTTGTCAGGTCTGTCCTATTTATTACCTTACCTGTAATCTAATTTGTAATGTACTTCCCTGATATTTTCTGTATTTCCCCCCCTATATTTTGTAATAACTTCTGCTGAAAGTCTGACCTACAAAAAGATGATGTTTTTAATCCAGCTTTGAATGATAACACCCAGGTGCCTTTATCTGGAAAAACTCTCCTAGCATGGAGCAAGGTCTGGTAGGAAAAGCTCAGCAGCCTCTGCAAGCGTGTTGGGGGAACGCTGTGTTACAGCAGCCGAGGTCGCTTTGTCCCAGCCAGGAAAATGCCAGCAGCTACTTTCCACTTGTGGCAAGATGATCTTTTCGGTCAGAAAGCCATTTCTGCTCTAAAAGGGTTAGAGGGAGGTATGTGAGAACCAGCAACCAGCATATGCCAATAGCTAGGTTGGGCAGAAGGTAAGAAAATAACTATAAGCCATGTGAAAGGCCACCATTGATGTGCCTCAGCTGCTGAAAGTTGCTCAGGTGCTTCACCTTAACTTTCAGGAGAAAGCATAAAGCAACAGTCCAGGGAAGAGAGCAATACCTGCAGGTTCTCTCTAGGTTGGGCAGAGATGTCTCGTGGCAGAGCCAGAGCTTGGTGGTCCTGCTACCCTGAGCACAGGGCTGAGGAAGGTTAATTAGTGTGACAAATGATGGGCACGATGGGAAGAGGTGGCATTTTCAGGCTGGTGCGGGCTTCCCATGCTATGTCAAGCTGGTGGCTCACCAGGGCTTGAGGGCTTTCCGCTCTCTTCCCACCCAGTTAGCTCTGCTCCCGCTTGGCTGCGCTGCTGACGTTGTTGTAAAACAAAGTTCAGCCTAAGCCTGCCTGCTGGACCTGGATTTCATCATTCTGGTAAAGGCGTTTCAAAGTCAGATGGCCTTAAAACAAAGAAAGAGAAATGTCCCTTTTTGTGGATGCTAATGAAATTTTTATCTGGGCATCTTTCTGTGAATGTTGGGCCTGAGAGGCATGGATTATGTTAGGGGAGAAGGGCTTACTGAGCCCTGGAAATAAATCAGAGGAGGACAGAGGATGAAGATCACAAATGATAAATTAGCAAGTGACAGAAAACAACTGCAGGAAATAATAAAACCAGGAGGAGTGTGTGGGAAATGCATAGGAGAGGTTGTTTACAACATGTGCATTGGACTTTCCAGCATTTGACATCTTATCTCAAATTCATTCCATATGTTACTTTATGCATGGATTCCTTTTTTTATGGGGTTTGTTCCATAGTTTTCTGCTAACATGAATGACTCACATCTGCTCCAATACTTAATTTATTCTCTAATGTCTTCTGCAAGGGATTGCTCAGCTCGTGCAATGCTTGTCAGTGGCAGGATTGGAAGAGCAGCCAGTCAGGCAGGTGAGCAGGGACAGCTGGGTGAGGCAGCTCTTTTCTGGAGTTTTTTTTTCTGGTTTGGGTTGTTTTGTTTTTTTTTTCTGGTTTGGGTTGTTTTGTTTTTTTTTTCTTCCCTTAGCAATGTCTGTAATTCGCACTTTGGCTGCCCTGTGCGGCCAGGCTTGCCGTGCCGGAGCCGTGTGTGGAGCCAGCAGGGAGCACCCCACGGGACAGGGATGATGGCTGAGGGCCGGCACCGAACTGCTGCCGGCATACTAACAGCTGATGATTATGATTTTATTTTTTAAGTGCTCTTGACAGCTCCGGAGACTCACATCTTCTCTTCTAAATCCAGTAATTAAATTCCACCTACCTGAATTCCCCCTGCTGTTTCAATTGGATAAATTAATCTTCCCGTCTTGTCTGAGCCTTCTCTGTGTGTTGCTGAACCGTGGCCTCCCCTCGCCCCGCAGCCGGACCGGGACCGGGACCGGGACCGGCCCGGGCCAACTTCGCCGCGGCTCTGCCCGGCCCCGCGCATCCTTCGGGGGCGCTGGGCAGCGGCCTGGACCCACTCGCGGTGCGTGGGAGGGGAGAGAGATGGGCGTCCCCGCTTACCCCCCCGCCCCATCGAACCCTGTGCTGTGCTCGGTGTCTCCGTCCCC